TGTGTGTGTGTGTGTGTGTGTGGAAGTATTTATTTTTAGATTCGTCTTCACAGGTCACCTCGTTTAGTGACTCGAGTGATAGGGAGTTGATGTTACAAATCCTAGATTTTTGGATTCGTCTTAACAAGTCACTAGTAAGTATTTATTTTTGGATTCTATGGTTTTTAAATTTTTTATTTGGATAAGCAAATCCTATATTTTTATTTTTAAGTGGAATTACTCTTGATGTAATTGTGTGTTTGTGATTGGGAAACTAGGCCTTATTTGTTGAGGGATGTGTATGATGATACGGTGCTGGATGGAGTGAAGCCAGAGAGGGATACATTTCATTCACTGATAGTTGGGACAATGAAAGGGTCTAGATTGCAAAATGCTTCCTTTTTCCGGGATGAAATGAAATCCTTGGGGTTGGCTCCTGATCTATTTTGTTTCTTAATCTTCATCAAATATTCTGCTGCCCTGTTTCTTTATCTTGACGATTCACAGCGAATAAATGTCCTGAATGAAACTATTTGTAAGACAAAAAGTCGATGTAGAGGCCTGAATCATGATTGATGCCAAAATAAATGAGGAGATTGCTACTAATAATTATCAAATAATTGATCAAATAAAATAATTTATGTTAGTTTCAGCTAAACATTGCCTCATTAAATTTTTTTTTTATTTTTTTTTTCCATTCATGAATTGCAACGAGCAAATTTGATATTGGCTATGTTAAAATGTTGATTTTAAAATTTTAAAGTAATACCTTTATGAGACATTTCGACATAAAATTTTACTTGTGATTAGGGCTGGGCAAATCTCTCGAACCGAACCGAATCGAACTCGACGGTTCTTGTCAAATTAAATACTCGAACGGGTATCTGAATTGAGAACCGATGGATACGGTTCGGTTCTCGGTTCTAGACCAAGAACCAAAGAACCGAATCTTTCTAATTTTTTTTATATTGAATAAATCAAATTAGTTTAATTTTAATTTTTTCTAAACAAATTAACAATTTATAAATCCAAATTTTTGGCCCAATAATTTGTTTCATTTCCAATTTTTTAATTTTTGGTCAAATTACCCATTTTATTGTCTCATTTCTTAGCCGAACAAGATCTAACCCACTAAATAACCCTAAACACTTACATTAAAGTGCATAACACTGTCTTGATTCTCGCACTCACTCTTGCAGCCTCGCTGACATTTCAAAACTTATACAATCACCGACCGATACTGTGACCTCCGATTGAAGCTGTGACCTCCGCTGATTGAAGTTTTGACCGTAGTGATCATTTGAATAAGGTAGTCTACTAGTCTCTGACATTCCAAAACCATTGAATGTGTCATTAGTTATATTTATATAATGTTGTTATAAATATTAAAAAATTTAATTATAGTACGGAACTGAATCCGAACGGTTCCATAATTATATTTGGACCCGACGGTTCCATTTACTAGATACTCAAAAATTTTAGTTCGGTTTGGTTTTTTTTAGAACCGAACCAAACCGACCCGCGCCCACTTCTAAAGACATCTGTCCCACGTGATTGTAACCGTTCTTTGCCGCACCATCTTGGACGAGCCCCTATGGACTTATTGAGGCCCCACTTTTTCAAAAAAAATGCATTTTGCAATAATGTTATGATAGAGAACGTGTTATTAAAACGAAAAAAAATTTGAATTTACATGTAATATTATTTTATTGAAAAAGTATTGTGAAAATGAGGTCAAATTTTAGGTAGGCAAATTTTGTCTTTTGCTTAATACATGAGTCTTCTTTCAAGCGAAAGTTTACTTTAAAATAAAATAAATGAAAATAGAGGTTAACATAGAAGAAGACATAATAGCAGCATGAACATAAAATTAACTTTTAAGGATTTGTTTGACCATTTCAAGGTAGAATAGGTTTGTAATAGTGATTTTTTTGGAGGATTTATAGTTAAAAAGTAAAAAATATTATTAAATTTAGGTATAAAATTATTTTATTATGAGAACTTAGAGATAAAAATAAATTTTTAAAGAATGAGGTTCAGAGTAAATTTTCATAACAAAAAATAAAAATTCTAATCACTAAAAACAAGTGAAAATATTCTTGTCACATAGAAATAAAAACTTTCCACAATGGCATTTCTGTAATTTCATGTTTCTAACCGGACACGTGTATGGCCCAGACCAGCTTGATTTTACAAAAATCTCGAACTCCTGTAGGGCGATCCGAACCCGGATTGTAAGCCATTTTATGCCACGTCGGTGACACATCGGATGTCAGGTGAGAGTGCAATCCTAGTCAGCAAACTTCGTCCCCTACATAAACCCACTAATTTTCTTTTGGATTCACAAAAAGCACTTAAACAGGGTATCAATCAATCAGAAAACACACGCCATACACAGAAGCACACAAAGTATTTTACATTCCCGTTGGCGATATTGAGCTCGCCGGAAAATGTGTATTCCGGCAGCCGATTCTGATTCCTTACTCCATGAATACTGTCCTCTTGCCTCCTTTCATCACAGACACGTTTTACATGAAAAGTCCTAACCAACTCATCTGACAAAAGAACTTATTCCTGTTTATAGAAAATCTGAGAACAGAGGACTTTTATTTTTCATTTTCAGTATATATTAGATTTTAATTTACTGGAAATTTTGTTCGATCTGTGAGAGATGATGAAGATAAGAGAGAAAAAGCAGAATTGGAAGCATTGATATTGGGGATTTTTTTCACTTTAGTCTTGAGTACTTGCTTTTGAAACGTTTTTCCGAGTTTTTGATTACTTGACACGAAAAGCAAGTACTGTAGTTATTAAGAGCTCTGAGAATTCAACTGACATAACAGGGAATATAATTAAGCACGGTGAGATTGTAGAAAATGCCTTTTCCAATGAGAATTCAACCGATCGATTCGCAAGTATACAGAGAGTCGTCCATACGGAACGACACAGTGAAGCCACCTGTATTTAAGTCGAGGCTAAAGCGACTTTTCGATCGGCCTTTTAACAGTGTTAGGATTTCGATGACCGAGAAGCCAGCCGCCGGCGGTGAAGCCGCAGTCCCGGAGTTTGAGCCGAGCTCAGTTTTGCTAGACAAAATGGTTCAAAGTTTCATTGAAGATACCCAAGAGAAGCAATCAGCGGCGGCGGCATCTGCCAAGTATGGCCGCAACCGCTGCAATTGCTTCAACGCTAACGGCAATAACAGTTCCGACGATGAATTTGATTCTTTCTTTGACTCCACAACAAACTCTTCCTTTAACGACCCTTCTGATACGCTCAAGGTACATATTATTCTCGATCGGTTCTCTAATACATAGCCTTTTGCATCTAAATCAGTTTGTATTGATGTTTTTATGGTGTTTCTGTAGAGTTTGGTACCTTGCGCGAGTGTTGTGGAGAGGAATCTGCTAGCCGACCTTTCGAAAATTGTGGAAAAGAATAAAACTTGTAAGCGCAAAGACGATTTGAGGAAAATCGTCACCGATGGTCTTGTTTCTCTTGGTTACAACGCCTCCATTTGCAAATCCAAATGGGAAAAGTCTTCCTCCATTCCAGCTGGTACGAAATTCATCCCTTTTAATTCATAATTTGATCGGCGGTTTTTATTGCAGATTTAGAATCCGATCATTTATGGCCATTTTTTGTGTGTAGGCGAGTATATTTATATTGATGTAATAGCGGAAGGAGAGAGGCTGATAATCGACATAGATTTACGATCGGAGTTCGAAATAGCTCGGTCAACAAGCAGTTACAAGGGGATTCTACAATCTCTACCGAATATTTTCGTCGGTAAACCCGACCGGCTTCTCCAAATTGTTTCAATTGTGTCGGAGGCCGCCCGGCAGAGCCTTAAGAAGAAAGGCATGCATATCGCGCCGTGGCGTAGGACCGAGTACATGAAATCCAAATGGTTCAGTCCTTACACCCGAATTAAGCAGAAACTCCTCCCAAACGACGTCGTTGAGATGTCGACCGGCGCCGGGGGTAAATACGAACCGGAGGAAAAGGATGTCAACGATGATGCAGTGGCTACGGAGGAGGTTTTGGAAGGTGAGTTTGGGGAACTGGATTTGATTTTTGGAGAGACTGATTTTGAGGAACCCAAATTGCCTTCAACTCCAGCGAAAGTTTCCGGCGAGGAGGAAAAGCTATATTGCCCGCCGGTGATGACTTGGCAGATTCCGGTGGTTAAACCCAAGATTTCCGACGCCGGAAACAAGGTGGGGGTCACCGGATTAGCTTCACTTCTTACAGAAAAACTTTGAAATTTTTGTCCAAGAAATTCCTAACCTTTTTATATATTTTTCTCCTCAAGTACAGAAATATATATAAAATCGAAGTTTAAAATAGAGATTATTGCAACAGTTTTGATTTTTGTTTGTATTTTCTGCTCCATTTTGTTTATTCAAAATCTAGAACAATCTGTAATGATTTCAAAATAGATAAATAAATAAATATAATATGATTAATACCCAGACGCATATCCAGTTGTGTCCTCGGTAGGAAACAGAGTTAATAAACAATTTTTAACTTTCTGAAATTAATTACTTTCATCGGAGATATGTTTATGGGGAAATGTAAAATAATGGCGAATATGGTGGGAGACGAGAAGGATGCCGAACGTTTCCATTTGAATAATGTGATGTTCTCTTTTCAGGTGTAATGACGCCGTCAAGTGAAGAGTTGGTTTCATTTGAATAACGTGATGTTCTCTTTTTGGATGTGATGATGAATTCTATTTCAGTTTTCTTGAAATTTTGCACCTTGGCATACGTTTCTATCTTTTGATAACTGCTGTGTAACGACAAGAAAATTTATTTTTATAATGAGCAGAGCTTCAAAACCCATTTCAATCCAAGGCGGAGGCTTCAGAATCCGGGATCAACTCGGTTTTCAATCCAATCCAGGGTCGAGGACCAGCTTCAGAACCCGGGATTAACTCAAGTTTCAATCCAGGGCCGAGGTGGTCCTTGGCCCTTGATCTTCAATGATGCGGGCCCCGCACGATTCACATCGAGGTCCGAGGTTTTGCCACCTCGACCCCTGACTCCAAACCCGAGATTTTATCCCTGTTTGAGCAGCAATTTTCTTTTATAATTGGTTAAAATTAATCAATTGTCGATGGTCGATATCATTTTCACATACAATAATGCTTGTCATTCGTAGTACTACTACATTTATTTTAAATTCCCGCACTGTATCTGTGAAATTTCCCTATACTTATAGACTGACTCATGACACTATTTGTTTCTTCATTACTATTGTTATTATTCTTTTTTTATTCAAATTGTTGAAATTTGAATGGCTATGATATTGGTTGATGTGTATTTGTTACTATGGATCGAAAAGTATTAAATAAAATTAAAATGGAAATAAATATTAAATTTATCCGCCGTATTATTTATGTTCATACTTTAAGAAAAAATAAATTAAAATGCAACTAAAATTAAAAACAAAAACTTCATCACTTTCTAATTTTCAAATTGATTGCTCTAAAAGTTTAAAACAAAAAATAATAATAATTATATATACACACACACACACACACTCGATATACTATAGTAAATTATTATTTTTTTAATTTATTTATATTATTTGGTATGCTTTTCAACGTCTAGAAATGCATGTTTCCTTTCATTATACTTCGCAACAGATTTGGCTTTGACTGTTTTTTTTTTTTTTTTTTTTTCAACCTTTTTTACTTTTTCCGGACAAGTGCGAGTAAGCTAACGTTATAATGTAAATAACCTATCAACCTTGCCAAAATCCATGGTTTTCCTGACTGCTTACTGATGTATATGGAATTTCCCAAACTAACTTAACTGAAATTTTATTCCGAATGATACTATAAACATGATCAAACGACTTTGGAGTGATTGGTAACAAGTTACATGAATAGGGAACATCAAACATATTCCAACAAATAAACCCACATTCCATACTGTACCAAATATGTGTCATCCGTACGTGATATAGCATTTGTAAGAAAACTGTGCGTCCACTAGGGTTCCACAAATGAGAATGTACTAACGTTTGTTGGACTTGTACACCTCAAATGTGAAGTTGTTTCAAATAGCATATAATGCAACAGCACTCTTTATCAACTTCTTGTCCCTAAATATCTGATTTTCGGCAACAACTTCAGCACCAGGTTTCGTAATCTCAACGTTATTCTCCACAAAATCTTCTTCAACCGGTTCCATTTGAGGACAAACTGCTAAAATCGGACACTGCACTTCTTCATCAAATTCATTTGCATTTTGGTTCGATATATTCACTAGCATTATATCCCCATATAGAACCGGAGTGAACTGTCATTTGAGATATTCACGGGGAGCCATGTTTTCACCTACATCGTAATCTATCTTCAAGCAAGATGTCATTTAGTCGACTTGCATCTCAGCGGTTATCATGTCAACTAGATCCCATACTTGCATCCAATTGGTAATAGAATAACAAAAGTCATTACATTGCACGTTATGCAATGAAAACATTCACGAATTTCATATCTGTAAAAAGAAAAAAATTGGAAAGAACTAAATTATGATAAGCGTAATGAGATTAAGTTAATATGTGTAGAATTAATGGAAAATCATTCATAATCTGGAATGTGTGAAATAAATTACGTAATTTCTGAAATCCCATTCATCCAAATCAAACAAATCATAAAGCCCAATCTATAGATGGAACGTATCTTATAAGATTGCATAAAAGGACAATAAAATGTAACATCACCTGTTACAGAATTTGATTGCTCAATTGATTTCCTACGAGAATCGATTCTACAGAAGTATGCAATCAAAATTTAATAGTCAATGAAACTATACCAGAGGATTAACAAAGATACGAGTTTGGATTCGTCACTTCCACTATTGCTGCTCTTGTTACATTAGCATTTTCATGGTTTGAATTTGAATTCCAAGGATTTCAGCATTCTCCATTAATTACATCCGTTTCTATTCTGAATCCTAATTGTGGTTTCAATTACGAGTTAAAATATGGAAAGTTTGGATTATAATAAAAGTGGGAATTTATTTTAGTGATATAGTAATCCCAACATTTATTTTAGTAAAGTAGTAGAAAGTGAAATTTTATGGGTAGCGCTATTTCTATCCACATTTTTTTTATAACTACATCTCACTCTAAGTTCATCCCTAATAAAATTTTAAAAATTAAAAAAAAAAAAAAAAAAAAAAACCTTTTCTGTCAACAAATTGGGTTCAGAATTTAGGTCAGAAAATAATCATTGTTTTTGAAAAGAAAGAAATCTGTGTGCTGACAATTTGATTACTGAACAATTATTATCAAACTTTATTGGCAATTTCTCACCAGTATTCAGAAATAACTGCTTGTTTCTCTTGGGTCCTTAAATTTTCTTTGCACATATGTATCCAGTTTCTACCTTTTTTTGGTGCACCTAACGACAAATGAATGTATATTGTTCAACTTTTGGTCAAACAGCCATATGAAGCAAGTTATATATATACACAACCTAATCCCTCGTTTGGCCTCTATTAAATTACATTTCATTTTTCTCTCTTCTATTATCAAGCACACAATCTTCCATAAAAATATTACACATAAATCGAAAAAAATTTCTTTTTTTTTAACTACGCATTTTGTTGACATTCAAAAATGGACCAACAAGTATTGTTCGGAACAATATACACGTGAACGTATTCTGCATATATCGACTACAAACTTAAACGTACACTCAATTACCGGTCAAACATATTCCAGTAAATAGACTAAATATGTGTATACTTGTAAAGAAAGAAGATGGAAAATAATGAACAATTTCTTTTGTGGAGATATATACAATGCTCTCTTTTCTTTCCTTTTTTCTTTCTTTTTTTTTTTTTTGTTCAAAGATTCATCCCTCAAAAGGTACAAGAACGGCTATTTATAGTGACTAGGCCGACGTGATCACCATTGGACCCGATCCACGTGGCATGATTTGCTAGGCCTTCGTATCACTTTAACTGTACCTTACATTAATTACATTGATAGATATTTGAAAACGAGTCAGCCACCCTATATCTCTAGGCTGATATTTCTGACATCTATTTAATAAGAGCATCACATCGATCAATACCTAAGATACGCTTATCAGACCTTCTTTTGGCCTTGCACTATTTTCCCCACGCCTGCATGAGTTGTCCTTATTGTGGCGGTGGTCTCTTTCATTTCTCTGCTGTCGACTCTGTTGAGGGGTCCAATCCTTCTGAATACGCTCGCTTCTCCTTTAGCTATTTAGGTGTGTCGTAATGTTCCAACACCCGGTTGTGCCGTGACTGTAGGAATGATGGTATGTGCAATATGGAGGTGCTTCATTCCTATTTAAAAGTCGTGGACCTTATCCTCTTCCTCATTGTCCAAGAGTTGGACGCTGAGGTGGTCTCTCCTAGTATACCTTGATGTTGAAATTTACATCCTCATATGCTAAAGTTGGGACTGCGATAAGTGTTGCTAATGCTAATGCTTACCCCGGATTGAGAATAATGGACTGTCCAGCTTGTTTCGGTAATCTCTCAATTTTTCATTGGTGATCTCTCGTCTTATCATTTCCAATAGGAAATCGTAACTGGTGGGGTCCTTATTTTGCACGTTCGTCCAGAAAAAGTGAGTTCATGTCCAATCCTCCCCTTAGGGCAGTCAATGCTTCCTTTCTATGACCTGCACGCAATAGGCCATTTCGTCTGTAAAGCGGGTCAGAAAGCTCTTCAGCGACTTCTCTGGTTGCTGCCTTATATCTTGTAGACGATGAATCACCTTTCACCTTCTTTCTTGAAATCAAGCCAACTCCGTATGCTTTCGGCTTCCAATCTAGTGCACCATACTTCTACTACTCCACTAAGGGTCAAATGGAAGGTTCTACATTTCATCGCAAGTGTAGCGCCTCTTAGTCCTAAATGGGTTTCGAAGCATCATACTTGGGTATTTTGGGTAGCACGAAGTGGTTTAGTACTGGAGCGTTCCTAGTTTCTCGTGAAAACGACAAGTTGTCGTTGTCGTCATTAAGGTCGCAAGACCTTTGTGGTTTGTCAGAGTCGCCTCTTTCTCTAGCGGGGGCCTCCATAGGCGGTTGGGATTATTCTGCTTGTTGCCTTACTTACTATGCTCTCCTTTCTTGTCTATTTCTAGGCAAAGGATTAGCACTGTCGCGAGCAGACTTGTCTTACACTTCCAACTGAGACCCCTCGTGCTGCTTATTCCTAAGCTGTCTTGGGCTCAGCTTATCGAAAATGCTGACTGACCTCTTTGGTGCATTTTTTGGGTTGTATTCTGGTAGGAAACTGAAAGAGATTTCGGGGTATTGGTCCGAAGCGTAATTTTTTAAAGTGTTTACTTCGACCTCTCTCTCTCTTGGGGGTCATCTTCCTTCGGATACTGCGGGTACCTGACCTTTAACTCTAAACCTTATCCTCATCATCATAGTAAATGCCTTGAAGGGAGGCATTTCCTTGAGAGACATATAGAGGAATTGGATATTCTTCCTAGCCTTGCATTCTTCTCAAAAGCTCTTGCATGGAAGATTTTGCTAAGTAATATTCTTCATATTCTCAGTCATGGTGGCTACCTCTCTTGTGAATCTAGTGGCTAGTCCAGAGCCTCCCTGTGACCTGTCCAGCGAGCCGTCTCGTCTACTTGCTTGCTAGAATCTGTGGCAGGACGTTGGGACTATGTGTGAGGGTTTCCCTTCTTTAGGGTGTTCTCTGGTCTTTCGAGGAGAGGGTTCTTCTTCGTTAGTACACATACTATCCATCGAATATTTCCTTGCCGTAAACGACGCTTTCTCTTTTTCAGAGGACAAGAAATGTGACCTCAAAAAAGCTCCTTTTTCGATGATCCTTTCTTCAAAGATACTCCATTTCTATTGAAAGGCAGTTTAGGGTCTTTTGCAAATTGAAAATTCTTGGCTTTTATCCAATGGATTTTTGTGGTTAGCTCCTCCATTTCTTCCCATAGATGGTACCAATCTGTAGACCAAAAAAATGTGCTAACAAAATTATGACCACGTTCCCTCCACATGGACCCACCTACACACTAAACATCCTGTTAAAATGCAAAGGTCACCGATTGAGAAAAGGTCCAGCCATCGTTTGGCAGATGTAAGACCTCGCCTATATAGTAGCTTATATTTAGAAGACTGATCCACATATGAATGTACGAC